CTGTCTGAAAACTTAGCCACAACTATGACCTGAAGTCAGTGTCTCCAATCATCAGCCACACCCTGTGCAGGCCCCCGGGGCCATGAGCCTACAGGTCAGCCCGGCACAAAGGCAAATCAACACTTTAAAGAGCCCGATTCAATGGCCTCCCAAGGGACCAGGAGTCAGTGAAGACCTAGCCAAACCCTCAGAGCGTGATAATTAGTTTAGCTAAACAAACTTCTAATTATGTTAAAACAACATTGGCATCTGAAAAGAAGTTAGAGTACTCAGTGTTGGGGTGAGGCTGTAGTAAAATATAGAACAGTAGCCATATTTAGGAGAGGACAGACTTAATATATTGGCTATATAATGCAGCTGCAATAAACTACAAAATTCAACACATACGTTAAACTTACATTACATGCAGTTTGCAATGCAATGCATGTTCTTATAGCATTAAACAGAGAAGACAATAACAAACCGATAATAAAAACAATCCTTACATGATGCTTGTTTGTGGCATAAAATCATTATCCCTAAACCCCTAAACCCTAAACCCAGTTCACTGGTAACACATTGCCTGCCCATCATAATCTCAGTCACATCTCTACTAACTGCATCACCTCAGATGCTACAACGCTGAGAGGCTAAACAGAGAGTCTGACCAGGCAACAGCTAAAGATCTGCAGATCCCTGGGCTCAGACAAAAGAGGCTTTACTAAAGGTTTTTCTCTTTAAAGAGCCTGTTCCTTAAATCAGCTAGATTAGTTTAGTATCAAGTGTCAAGCTGCAGTGACTGCGAAGGCACAGACACCTGCGCTGAAAACAGTGTAAACTCCCATCCACACTGACAGACGCAGAGAGATAGAGCATCACTTGGGTGGCATTTCCTAAAACCCTCACAATCAAGGGCCACCAAATCCTGAAATGCACCAGTGAGAAAAAAAAGAAGCTTAAGTACTGCTGCTTTTGGTAAAGCCTATTTACCTACAGAACAATTTCTGAACAATTTCCACAATAGTTTTAAAAGGGAAAAAAAGACCAAATGCAGTGATTTATCAGCCATCCTCTAGTTTAAGCTCTTCAGTCGCAGCAGAGTCATTATGTAGTATCAGGGTTATAGTCACAGGAGCATCTGAAACGTTTCAGGAACTAAGGGAACTTACTTTAAAGTCTAGTTTTGGTTTCTAGGCCATGGGTTCTGCCTTCAAAAAAGTCTAACAGTGGTACTTTCCAATAGGCAAAGATCTATCAGGGTGGAGATTAAAGTAAGTAAGTAAACATGGCTGATTGGTAATGCACAAGCTACAAACCACCTACATCAATTCAATTCAATTCAA